CCATCTTTATAGCAGAATGTATATCTAAACTTCTACTCCCAGGCTCAGCAGGTGAAGCAGAAAGGGAAGCCCCCACAATGAAGATTAATGAGAGAGCAAGAGGAAGTGTCCTGAACAAAGCCAATGCCAGCCGTCTCTGATAGACAGAGCCCCAGAGAGTTTCAGAATCTGTGATTCCTCTTGACAGCCCTCTGCCCCGGGTATCACATAGATAAGAAGCAGAGTTTATGTCCAGATCCTAGCCCAGAAGCAACAGCTACAGCCACAGCCCAACTACAGCCACAGCCACAGCCCAGCTACAGCCACAGCCACAGCCACAGCCACAGCCACAGCCACAGCCACAGCCCAGCTAGAGGCACAGCCACAGCTTACAGCCCACAGCCCAGCTACAGCCATAGCCCAGCTACAGCCACAGCCCAGCTAGAGGCACAGCCACAGCCTACAGCCCACAGCCACAGCCCAGCTACAGCCACAGCCACAGCCCAGCTACAGCCACAGCCACAGCCCAGCTACAGCCACAGCCCAGCTACAGCCACAGCCACAGCCACAGCCTTCTAGGACTCTTCCATTCAGAAGCTCCCATCTTGATGGGCCATTCTGCTCCCCTCCCTGTCAACCTCGCTGCTCTCAGCAGCCAAATTGGGCCTTGACATACTACTGGGTTGCTCTACTGGCACTCTTTCATCTTGCTGAGCTCTGATCCTCTCTCTTCTCCTCCCAGTTCCAGCTACACAACGTTTACCTCCTCCAAGCTCCAGGGACTTGTGAGTGTACATGTAAGTACAGTATAGGGACATAACCAGATCCTATACTCGATGATTAATCTAGATTGTCAACCTAATTTATTCTGGGATCACTAAGAAATCTGTTCCTGAGCAGATCTGTGAGGGTGTTCCCTGCAAAGACTAGCTGAGGGGGAAGACCCTCCCTCAGAGGGCAGCACTTTATGGCCTAGTTAGGAACAGGTCTCAGAAAAAGGCAAAGCTGCTTTTGCCTGCCTATCTTTGCTCCTTGTTGGTGAGTGCATCTAGCCTGTTGTTTGGTAGTGCTGCGGGCATCTTTTGTTTTGTCAGGCTTGCATTGTGGGCTGAGACCAATGATTCTCAGACTTCAGTGCCAGACTGGGAAGGATGAGAAGATGTGAAAGCCTCGTGGATTCAGCAGCTACGTAGTCCTCACGTTATCTAATGTACAGCCAGCCATTGTTGGACCTCCCAGTCCTTGTTGTATAAGCCAGCCTTCCCCTTTCTATTATGTATGTATTCCATGGGTTAGGCAGGTGTCACAGGAGGACACTGGGAGTCAAGCAGGAGTGGTGACAGCTTCATGCCACTGAGTAGTATTCTGGGAAGGGTTCCTCTGGAACAAGCTTGTTTGCCTGTTCCTACCTGCTGCTGATCCAACTGGAGCTGAGAGATGTCAGATGCCTTAGGCTTTATACCACTGTTATTAAAGGTATACTAAGTGCTCCTGAAGGGCTGAATGTGCAGATTGAAGTATAGTGTGCACTCTTGACACATTAGGCCCTGGGTTCAATCTCCAGCACTGTGATAAATAATTTTAAATGATTTCAAGGGATTATGTAAGATGGGACATGCTAATGGTGGGGAAACACACAAAATATTCCTAGATAGATCAACTTAGACCATAAAGTCTCAATCTGCCCACAGCTACTTATGTGGTTGGGCCCTAAAGACAGGTGAATGAGACAGTCACTGTCCTCAGGGGGCTCAAGTAGAGATATGAACCAAGGTTAGCTTCTGCTGGTTCTAAGTGCTATGAAGTGTGAGTCAGGAAAGTAGTGGGTGTACAGAGCCAACAGAAAGCCATCTTTACAGATGGGCCTCTTGGAGTGGGAATGGGAGTTCCCAAAGAATCTTCTCCTTAGAGGCCTTCACTCAGGTGAGATCCTGACAAGTCCATGTGAGCAGAGTTCAGCTTATTAAGAAGGAGAGAGGGAGTTGGAGAGATGGCTCAGCAGTTAAGAGGTCCTGAGTTCAATTCTCAGCATCCACATGGTGGCTCACAACCATCGATAACTAGATCTGTGCCCTCTTCTGGCCTGAAGACATATGTTCAAACAGAATACTGTATACATAATAAATCTTATTTTTAAAAAAAGAGAAAAGGAGAAAAACCTAAACTCTCTCTTTCTCTCTCTCTCTCTCTCTCTCTCTCTCTCTCTCTCTGTGTGTGTGTGTGTGTGTGTGTGTGTGTGTGTGTGTGTGTGTGTGTGTGTGTGTGATATGCTGGTTTACTTCTCTTAAAGAATTCCCTCTTGTGGGAGCTGGAGAGATAGCCCAGTAATTAAAAACCCTTTGTTCTTCCACAGGACCTGAGTTCAGTTCACAGCACCCACATCAGGGCTCGCGAGCACCTGTAACTCCAGTGCTAGGGGATTTAATGCCCTTTTCTTGCCTCTTCAGGAACCTGCATGAACAAGGCAAACATTCACACATGTACACATGAAACTAAAAAATAAATCTTAAAAGGCTGTAGAGGGCTTGTGAGATGTGTCATTCAGGTGTGAATTAAGAGATAAATGCCCATAAATTAGACTCAAAGTTGCACACACTGTCTTTAACAAATACAACCATTTGTTGATTGCCTCTCAAAGGGCTCTTTTCTCTTTAGTCTGTCTTCCTTGATTTGGGCAGTGTGTTAAATTCATTCAGCCAGTTAAACATAAACACTAAGCCCTAGGATAAGAGGCTTTTCTCCCTTCCCATGGCCCTTAATGTTACATCTTTCTCTCCTACCTCACACTTGTAATGAAAAGCAATGACTGAACTGGGGACAGCCCAGCTCCCTTCAGAAGTCACCTCAACTGAGAACAAATTACTCTTCATAAAGCTACCAGGCCAGTCTCCTCCATCCCTCACTGGAATGTGGCCCATAGCTTAGGGAACCTCTCGGAGAACAGGTCCCAAACCACAGATATTCTGGTGATTCAAATGGCCCTAGCCCTAGCCTAGACCTGACCCCAAGCCCTTGGAATCTCAGTACAGACACCAGGAAAAGCAAAACATTGGGGTTGGAAAGGAAAAATGTAGGCAGCCAATCTCCAAGGAGCCAGGATGCAGAATGCTGGCCAGAGTCCTGCCTGCAAGCCCGAGATGTTTCTCTGTACTTCCCTCAAAGCCTCCTCACTGACAGACGCATGTACTGAAACTAGAAGGTGAAAAAAAAAAAAACCTGCCTTTGAATATCAAATTCATTATCTCCCAGCAAAACACAAGGGACATGGAGCTGGACTCTGGAAGCTCACAGAGGGGCTACATTCCCAAGGTTCCTTGCTTTGGGAGAATCAGTAAGAATGAGTATCTGAGCTGGGTGGGGGTAGTACACACCATTAACCCCAGCACTCAGGAGGCAGAGGCAGGCAGCTCACTGAGTTCAAGGCCATCCTGGTCTAGAGAGAGTTTTCTAGGACAGGACAGAGAAACCTTGTCTTGGGGGGGGGGCGGGGGGAAAGAATGAGTATCTGATTAGAAAGGATGACCCACTGAGGCTGACAAGGATGTGTGTGGTCACCAGCAAGCCACGTTTCCATCCATTCCTTTTCCATGAGACTGTCGTGTTTACCCAAGAAAGGAGCGTTTTGGATACCTGTTCCTCAGGTGCTGAAGCAGGAACCAGCAGACACACAGGCACTCAAGCTCCTTAAAAGGCAATGCCGGGCCTCTGGCTGATGACGCACCTGCACTCCACCCAGAGACAGATGTGGAGAGCAGGAACTATTGTTCCCAAGACACACTGATGATGTAATCCTTTTCGCAAGGAAAAAGAATGTGAACTCTCTAAACACACTCCAGCCTTGTAAAGCCAGCCTTGATCTGGCCACCTCTCCTTAGAAAGCTGTGCTATCTTCTGTCCCTTATGAGAACACAGACCAAACTATCCCTCAGGTCTGGTTATAGAGGTGAGGACTTTGCCCCATGCCTCAATGTGCTGCTCCTGGCCCACTATCATCATTTTCTAAATCAGAACCCAGGCCTGGGCCACTCAGCATGGTCTGTCTCGGCCTAGCTTCAACCTGAGCCTGGTCTTTAGTGTGTAGCAGGGCGGCTGAGGCGAACTTTCTCCCCCCGTGTCCCGCTTCTTTATTGCTACTTATTTCTATGCCAGTGTCCTGCCTCCAGAGAGCAAGGCTAGAGTGTCTTACTCACTGTCAAGTCCCCAGGACTGGGACCTTAGACCACTGTTCCAGTAGAGCTGCGTGTTGTGGTGCACACTTGTAACCCTGGCACTTGGGATGCTGAGGCAGGAGGATTTTGAGTTCAGTCCTGGGCCACACAGGACTTCCATGCCAGTCTGAGTTGCATAGTGAAAGCCTGTCTTTAAAAGGGGGGAGGAGGTGCTGGAATGTAGTTGAGCAGTAGAGTACTTGCCTGGTATATACAAGTCACTGGGTGCAATCCTCAATTCCAAAACAAGGGCTGAGAGAGTGAATGAGGAGGTGAGTGGACAGAGGAGTCTCCTCTGTCTGTCCCCTCTGCCAGCATAATTGACTGTGGACTCTGGGATTTACCCTATCTTTCATTTTCTCCATCCTACAATTTACCTGCCCCATCGGAAAGATCTGAGTTGTATAGTAACAAGTCACCCAAAATAAAGTCACCTTGCACCCACATACTGTTATATTCCTTCACAGTATTATTGCTTGGAGCCTATGGGTCAGAGCTAGACCTTGGCTGTGGAGTAGCCCCGAAGTCAGGTTCAGACATTAGCCACCACAGAAAGCTTTTATTAAAGGGGGAAGTCTAGAAAAAAAGGGCTGGGGCAAGTCCGAGGGGCAGGGTACAGGGCTCAGGTAAGCCACAGGCCATGTCTACAGGATGACATCAGCATCCTGTCTAATTCCAGGTGAGGTACAAAAGAGACAGAAGGTGGGGTGAGGACCCGATCTATAGGCAAGGGAATCTGAGTTAAGAGGGCCAAATCTTTGGGCAGAAGCATGACGTCCTAGTCTTTTCTGGAAGGAAGCTGGGAGGGAAAGTTCAACATTCCCTAGGGCCAAGGCATCCAAAGCCCTCGACACAGCCTGCGGAGCTGCAGAGCGCGCAAACACCACCGGGGGCGCTCACGTCTAGACCACGGGAACAGAGTCCAGGTGCCCGAAGTGGGACGGAGACCGAGATCAGGCTAGGACCTCCAGTGACATCGCTGCCTGGGTGGTGAGACCAAAGGACTCAGGGAAACCTTCCCGTCCTACCTCTGCCAAGGAGGCCCACGGACTTCTCCAAGACCCTCCTTGGCACCAGGAAGAGGGTGGCTTCCCACACCGGTAGATTAACACTCCTCTCCCAGAACATAGACAGAAAATCACCCTCTGAGAAGAAACCACCCACCATAACCGCGATCTGCACAGAAAGACAACAGACCCCTTCTGCCTTCTCAGGGGTCTGAAGGAATGGGGAAGGGTTGCCAGAAGAGCTCACATCTTACCCTGGTCACTTACCCTCTCTCCCTGCCCCAAGACCCAGACCAAGCCTGTGACAAAAAGAAGAAATAGGTAAGTCAGTCCGCCTACCAGGTTCCCCATGACAGACAGCTCTGACTCCCACACCCCCAAACTAGATAGAGCCTTCTAGCCTGCAAGCTCCTTGAGTCTGTCCTTGGCTCCTACCACTGTCTCCATGTCTTGAAGGACAAAAGGCTCTGCTCTCTGACACTGACTCAGCCCACACCAGTGCTGGGGCCTTTTTGTTCAAGGAGCTACTAAAGTGTGGGAAGACTGGCTGCAGGAGAGCCAAAGCCTGACATCCATTCCCATACTTCATGATACCTCACCTCTGCTCCTCGCCCTCCAGCAGCCTGCGGTAGGTGGCAATCTCAAAGTCCAGGCCCAGCTTGACGATCATGAGCTCCTGGTACTCACGTAGCTGTCTCGCCATGTCCTGCTTGGCCCGCTGCAGGGCAGCCTCCAGCCAGGCCAGTTTGCCCTTAGTGCTGCTTGAGGCCACATCTTGCAGGGCCTCCACATCTTTGGTTTTCTCTAGTTCACAGGGCTGGAAATGAAGCAAAGACCATAGATAGAAAGGTATTCTCTACCACATTTCTTCCAGCCTTAGAAATCCAGATACTATTCAAAAGCCTGGGAGCCAATAAGGGAAGATGATCCATGGTCAGGGGTAAGAGGAAGTCTGCTCTAAAATTTTTGTGCACTTATTTGAATATATATATATGTATATATATATATATATATACATATACATATACTCAACACTGGAGGCCACCAACTGGAATGAATGGCTAAGATCCCTGTCTCAAGATGGCACTCTTCACATGAGTTAAGAGTAGAGATGTATCATTATCAAGAAAACTGGGGTTAGCATTTCATAAGGAATGAGCAGGATATGGAGGTTCAAGCCTGCAATCCCAACTAATTGAGAGGCTGAGGCAGGGGGAATCAAAAGCTCAAGACCTTCCCAGGCTCCAGAGGGTGAAAGACCAGCTTGGGAAACCATGGAGCCCTCACCTCACGCTGAAAAAGGATAAAGGGCTGGGAAGTAGCTCAGTAGCCAAGTGGTCACTACCATAGGAATGGCTTTGGGCCCCACTCCTAGGGCCACCCAAATCAGAACCAAATCGAAGTGAACAGAAAGACTTCTTTCCCATTGGGTGCCTGCTGCTTGGACAACCAGGGCAGTGCTGTGGCTGGTGTGGGAGACTCAACCACTGTGGGCCTTCCCTTCCCACCCTTTCTGTCACCACTGGACAAGGAACCACACACCAAGAATATGCCCTAAGCCTAAGACACTTGTATCTCCAAAAAGTAAGACCAGACCCAGAACAGAAAGCCCTAGGCAGGGGCACGGGGTGAGCCAGGCAGACTTAATAGAGAGAACGCTGGAGGAGATGCAGCTGGAGAGCAGGGACTGGGAGAAGGAAGGTGTCCATGAGCATACACTCCCTGCAGAACTGAGCCTGAGTCTCAAACACCTTCAGGGTCTGCCTAGAGGAAGTAAAACAGATGAAGGCAGGCGCCAAACACAAAATCCCGTTCCCAGAGAGACTTAGAAACTTAGGACTTCTCCTACATGCTTTCAGTCTTTCTCTACAGACACATTCCCCAAGAAGAATGGAGTCAGAGCCCTTCCTCTGCCACAGGACAGTGATGATGCTACCAGGGCAAGGAGAATTAGATTCAAGTGTCAAGGGATAATACAGTCAGGAGTGGTAGAGCTGCTTGTGTCCTGTGAGGAGTAGCCAGATGTTTCCTATCACCGTTTGCTACTGCCAGCTCTTCATATGTTTGGTTTGGTTTTGCTGAGAGGAGGAGGCTTTTGCTTTTCTGTGTTAGCTTTGTGTGTTTGCTTGTTTGTTTTGGGACAGTATCTTACTCTGCAGCCAGCCCATTGGGCAGCCCAGACTGGCCTCAACTGGAAATTCTTCTGCTTCGGCCTCCCAAGCACTGGAATTAGGGCTCTGTTTTATGTTTGTTAATCACTGAAGAGCATGAGAACCAGGGTCTTGGGTAGTTCAGGCAAACATTCTGCTGATGAGATAAAACTCTAGCTCTAATAAGCCTTGTAACTCAGACTCCTCTTTAACTCATTATACAGTACAGGGTGCCCTGGAACTTGAGATCTGGGTGCTGGAGTTACAGATATGTGCTACCACACCCACCTTGATTTTCATGTGCTTAAGGAGTTTCTGTTAAATCTTGTCACTTCTGAGCATAAGCTCAGAATTATTACAAGGCAAAACAAAAAAAAACAGATACGAATATATATATATATTTATATATTTATATATTCGTATAAAGGAAAGGCCAAGCAATATGCATTGGTACACATCCTCTTGGTTAATTGCCTTTCCATATAATACAGAGCCCAGACAAAGGGAAGCATGAGTGGTACATACAGCCAACACTCCTATGTGCTCAGACACACACACTACACACTCTCACACACATACACAACATATGCACACACCATACACCACACACACACACTCTCATGCAAACTCACACACATACTCTCACATACATGCACACACACACACAAACACATACATGCACACATACAAAAACTCACCTCTTCCAAAGGTTGAGGAAATCTAGAAAAGGTGTCATAGGTAATGGCACCCACCCCACCCCTAACTGCCCTACTGCCTCCCCCACCAACACCTCACCTGGCTCTGAGCACCGCCCACCTCTGTCTTTAGCTGCTGGATGGCTTGGTTAAGTCTGTTCAGGGCCTCCTTGCTGTGCCGAGGGCTCTGCACACATTTCTGCACAGCGGCCTTCATCTCCTCACACTGGAGTGGGGCAGCAGAGCAGAGGTCGGGGGAAGGAGCACATAAGAATAAAGCAACCTCAGTGCCCAACAGACACCGGGTGTCCCCGCCAGACCCTCTTCTCCAGGTACTCCATTCTCTATCTGTGTTCCTGGAAGAATTCAGTGACTTCAGTGGACCAGACTGAGAGGCAGCAAAGAGCCTGGTGCAGAATCCAGGCATCTGTCAAGAGGCTTAAGGGACTGGGCAACCCAGGGTTCATCCCAAGAACAGAGGGAGTTAAACTCTGTGAAATCAAGCCCTAAAATTTACCACCTATGACAATCCTTTATGAAAACCCAATGGCAATTAGTAATTTAAAATTTTTAAGTTGTATCTGAGGTGTGTGTGTGTGTGTGTGTGTGTGTGTGTGTGTACATGTGTGTGAAGTGTGTGGAGGCCAGAGGTCAAATTTGAGAGTTATTCCCTAGGAAGCTGTCATCTTGACTGCAGGTATGTTTCCCCTTGATTTGTTGTTGTTGTTGTTGTTGTTGTTTTTGAGACAGGGTCTCTTATTGGAGTCTAGGGCTTATCAGTCAGGCTAGGCTAGCTGACCAGAGATCCCCAGGGATCCTCCTGTCTCTGCTCCCCAGCTCTGGGATTACAAGCACATACCACCAAACCCAGATTTTGACATGGGTTCTAGGGATCAAACTTGGGTCCTCATGCTTGTACAACAAGCACTGCTTCATAGATGGAGATATCTCCCTAGCTGCCCAGACTACATTTTAAGTCAGGCCCTTTGCTCTACACTCTGGAGGAGGGATGAAAACACACATGCCTCTACCCTGATGAGGGGCTGTCCACACCGCCACAGTGCAAATCCCACAGAGAGAACATGGGGAACAGACAGGGCCAGACGGTAAAACGTCATCTCCCACAAACATCTCTTGTACTCCATTGTCCCCCTTCCTGTCCCATGTGCCCAAGGTAAGTGAGATACAGTAGATGACTTGTAACTGGCAGCACTTAGAACACCTGGTGGAGACCAGAACCCTCAACCCATGTGACTAATGAGCCATAAGCAAGCCTCACCATAGTAAAGGGGCTCTGACTCCCCCACAGCTCTCGAGCACCAAAGCCTAGCTCCAACCTGAAGAGCTCACAAAGTCCCCATCTCTGAGGACACTCCCTCCTAAGAGCTTTGTGACCTCACTAGGTTACAGTTGCAAAGTTCTGATTGGAGTTTTGAGAGGCAGAAGTCTGAAGGAGAGGGTGCTGTGAGCCCAGGTGGGAAGGCTGGAGGGGGAAGCTTCCTTCCATAGGACCTAGTTTACTCTGTGTGACTATCTCATACTTGATGTAATTCTACTTTTAGTTTTTTTGTTTTTTGTTTGTTTGTTTGTTTTGTTTTGTTTTCCTTACTAAAATGGGGTATGCATGGGGCTAGAGACGTGGCTTTGTGATTAACAGGATTTGTTGCCCTGGCAGAAGACCCAGATTGAGTTCCCAGAACCCAGACTGTGGCTCACTACGATCAGTAGCTCCAGTTATAGGGTATCTGACACTCTCTTCTCATCTCCCTGTGCCTTCTTTAAAAATCCTAGATCTTTGTTTCCCTTCCTAATATGATCACATAGACTAAATCCCTTCCCTGTTTTCACTATTGCATGTTTAATAGACTTATTAAAGATGAGTAGCTGATACTGGCTCTTTAGGGCTGACCCTTAATAACTCCAGAGACATGGAAAACATTTTCTAATTGGTCTTTGTATTGCATCTGGAGATCTTGGGAGTCTTGAGAATGGTGTTTTTATCAAACATTGGACATTATATATTTTCTCCTGCCTCACCCTCCTTTAGTTCTAGGTAACTGATTACAACAATGCTCAGTTATTTATCATCTTTTGGGTCCCTTAGGGGCTGTCATTTTTTCCTTCAGTATTTTTCCCTTTATTCTTTAGGGTATAACATTTCTATGATCTGTCTCCAAGATCACTGACTCTACTATAATATGAGCAACACAAAGAAAGGTCACTGTCTAGACATTAAAAACAGAATACCACACCTCAGAGGCCCAAACATATGGAGAAATAAAGACTGAGACACATCACTCTCCTGGAAGACTGGATGCTCCACTTTTCCCATCACTTCAAGCCATTTAACCATAAAAAAATACTTGTCCGCACCCTATTCCCTGATGTACACTACTAATTGCCCCTATGTCTTTTACTATACCCCCCCACACACAAACATACCTGACTCTACCTACCTTACAGGACCCAAGAATGGGACTGCCCTCATGGCACTGTCCCTGCCCAGGGATATAAATAGTTCATCTTGAATGTGTGCCCATTTGGGATGGTACATTTAGTGTGCATATTTCATTGGAAGAACCAAGAGTTGTCTCCAGCCAAGATTTTCTAAGAAACCAGGGAGGGCAAGCTCTGGGTTAGATTTGTAGGCAGAGCAATGTAGAGGCACACATAAACTGGACACCAATCAGGAAAGATTTCCCCAGGAGCATCTGCTCATTATAGGAGTATCCTGCCATGTTACAAGTGACACACTCAGCTCCCCTTCATTTTCCATTAGGGAAGAATTGCTATTTGCTATGATAACTGGAAGTCCAATATTTCTAGGACGTTATTTTTAAGGTAGGTGTGTGTGTGTGTGTGTGTGTGTGTGTGTGTGTGTGTGGTTGGTGGCTCAAAAGAAAAGGCCTGGTACAGGTACCCCTTACCATATCCTCGTGGTGTCCTGGACAAGTATGATTATGCCAGTGCTGACAACAAAGCTCAGGTGCTATATGCAATTTCTCTCAGGTGGTTATAGTGGAGCTAAGATGTGTTTGATTCTATACCAGACAACTATGCCATGGAGAAGGAAGAAATATATTTCTGAGATGCAAGCATTGATATATGTGGTGATTTGGAAAATAGCCATCATAGGCCCACAGGGAGTGGCAATGTTAGGAGTTGTGGCCTTGTTGGAGTAGGTGCAGCTTTGTTGGAGGAAGTATGTCACTAGGGTGGGCTTTGACATCTTAGAAGTTCAAGCCAGGCCTAGTGGTTCATGTCACTTCCTATTTCCTGAAAATCCAGATGTAGAACTCTTAGCTACCTCTCCAGCACCAAGTCTGTCTGCATGTCACCATGTTTCCTGCCATGATGATAATGGACTAAACCTCTGAAACTGTAAGCCGGCCCCAATTAAATGTTTTTTCTATCAGAGTTGTCTTAGTGTCATGGTGTCTCTTCACTGCAATGAAACCCTTATTAAGACAATGTTGAAGATGTTTCAAAATGAAGTTATCAGAAGTAGTACACACACACACATATATACATACATTCATATTCATACACATACATACATACATACACACACACACACACACACACACACAGAGTTTCTACCTTCTCCCATTCTCCAGATCCAAACAAAGATCCATCTCCTCTAAGAACCTGTTCTAACCTAGCCCCAAATCCCAATGTGAGAGGCTCATCCAGTGAAAAATTCATATGACTTGGGGTCCCAAGATCAGACCTCTACTACTTCCAGTACAGAACCTGTGTGCCTGCCCTGTCCCAGATGCAACCTCCTCATTTATACTCTGAGCCTGGTTCCTGGTGGGCATGATGACCAAGACAAGACAGTAACTCCACCCAAATGCTGGAGATGAAAGGCCAAAGACATACCTCCCAGGGCTGGGACTTGGGAAGCCCTTCATCCTCCCAGCACCAGTCACCACTAACCCTCTGATGAGATGTCAGTCCTGGATTGCATTTGATATTTCTCATGATTCAACCTACTTCCCTCCCAAGTTCTCAAAACAATATAGGGACCTGAGGAGCATGCTTCCCTAAGGCTGGACCAAGAATTACTATGACATTTTGGGGGTACCATGGTAGCCTATGTGTCAAACTAACCCTTTTAGGTTGTATGCTTGGCAGTCTGGACGCAGCTTGCAGCTCTCCCAGTGTCCTGTGGAGAGACTAGATGTTAACACCTTGACTGTGCTAGCACAGATGGTCTGCTCAAAACTCAGAATGTTTCCAAGCCAGAACTGTGTAATCCCTAACCACACATCTGGTTTAAATACTCACACTTCAGAGAAAATCTGACTCCTTTGGTGAGGGAGGCCCCAAGGGAGGACACCTCAACACTACTGTTCCCAAAAGAAAAATGGAATAATGTGGGCTCACTAGAGAACCACATTACCAGTAAATACAAGGCTCTGGTTTTTATCCCCAACACAAATGGGAAAAAAAAGGGACTAAAAATATACAAACTTGAGTCAGATATGATAGCACATACTTTCAGGAGGAGGATGGAGGATTCAAAGCCACTGTTAGCTACAGAGTAAGACCTTGTCAAAAAGAAAAATAATCTTAGCTGGGTGGTGGTGGTACACACCTATAATCCCAGCACTCGGGAGGCAGAGGCAGGCAGATCTCTGTGAGTTAGAGGCCAGACTGATCTATAGAATGAGTTCCAGGACAGCCGAAGTTACACATAGAGAAAACCGATCTTGACAAACCAAGAAAAAAAAAGAAGAAAGAAAGAAAGGAAAGAAGGAAGGAAGGAAGGAAGGAAGGAAGGAAGGAACAAAGGAAAGGAGGGAGGAAGGAAGGAAGAGAATCTTACTGTCATGACACTAGAGTTGTGGATTCATCTCATGCACAGAACCATTGTTGGGCTAAACTGATATAAAACAAACCCAGGCTGGACCAAAACAACCCAACCCAAGAGAGTATGGAAAAAAAAAGACAGCAGAGGTGGCAACAGGACACTCCTTGGAAATGAGATGTCAGGACTGACCATGATGATCTTGGAGTTCCCAGATTTAATTACTGCATGCACTATAATAGCATAGCTTTAAAACAAAGGAAGCGAGGGTGACATGCATGCTTCTCTTTAATGCTGGCTGCTGAGCACACACTCCAGTTTCCGCTGCTAATAATGGGACACATAATTAATCTCCTTTGTGATGGTTCTGGCCCCCTAGAGTCAATGCCCTTGACTATCAATGAGCTGATGAAGGCCCTAGCACAACCCAAATCTTGCCTCCAAGAACTCAGCCTCATATAACCCCCAGACACACAGGCACATGGCCTACAGAGACAGCATGGAACAGCCCTGGACTCTGATTCCAGTCCTCGGAGCCTTCCACATAAGTCTGTACCACTATGGGTTCATTTTCCTCAGCAGGACTACATGAAACCCTGCCTCCAAAAGCAATGAAATCCCTCTACAGTGAGCTAGTTAGGCTGTTACCACCCCATTGGTATTACTGTCTCCCCTCTCCAAGTTGCATAGAGAAGGGTAGAGAAGGGTGAGAGGAGGCAGAACATGAGCTGTGAAAGGGAGATGAGAAAGTTTCTGCCCAAAGGGACACAGGAGAAGTAACTAATAATAGTGGAACAAATAGATAAACAACAAACAGTTCTGGCGCTCTTACTAAGTGTTAGGTCCCGCCCTGGAGGCTTTCGGGTCCATTATCCCATTAGTTACTCCCAGCAGCTCTTGGGTGGATATTATAATTATTATCTCTTTATTCCTACTCCCCACAGGACATCTAAGGCTCATGAAGATTATTCACCTGTCCAAAGTCGTGACATGACCTTGCCCATAACTTCAAAGGCCTTGCCCCTCGTTACACGTGCGCGCACAACCCCCCCCCACCCCCCCCCCCACACACACACACAATGAATTCAAAGGTCACTAGACACCCAAGACCAGGATTTCCTAGTCTTCAGGGTGGGAGACCAGCTGGGGTGTTTGACAGCCTGGGATGGACAAGGTAACACAGTGAGTCCCAGCAGCAGGGCAGCAGGGTCCTGCCGGATGCCCAGAGTACCTGGCCCCCGAGCTGACCAGGCGATTCATGGCACCATAAAGCCCAGAAGGGCGGGAGAAGAACGCCGTTTTATGGGGGCGGCCAGGCAGCCCCAACTGCTTTGATTCTGACCGGCAAGCTCGTAAACTCCGGGGCGGCGGGCGCGCTCCCTCCTTCACGATATAAGCCTCAGCACAGGGCTTGGGGTCCAGACTAGCTCTGAATCGCCTACACATCATGTCCTGCTTCTCCTCCCGCCTTGGCGCCTCCTGCGGGGTCCGCGCCTTCAGCTGTGCCTCAGCCTGTGGCCCCCGACCTGGACGCTGCTGCATCTCCGCAGCCCCCTACCGCGGCATCTCCTGCTACCGTGGACTCTCCGGGGGCTTCGGTAGTCGCAGTGTCTGCGGGACCTTCCGCTCAGGCTCCTGTGGAAGAAGCTTCGGATACCGCTCTGGAGGAGTCTGTGGGCCCACACCCCCCTGCATCACCAGTGTCTCTGTCAATGAGAGCCTGCTCACACCCCTCAACCTGGAGATCGACCCCAATGCTCAGTGTGTGAAGCATGAGGAGAAGGAACAGATCAAGTGCCTCAACAGCAAGTTCGCAGCCTTCATCGACAAGGTGGGTGTCCTGCACCAGCCCTTTCCTAGAGCCTAAGTACCAAGTGGATCATTTTAGAAGCACAGGCAGAACGGGAGAGCTTCTAGGTAGCTCTAGCTAATGAGAAGAGTCATGCCTCTTCAAGCTGCAGCCAGTCTCAGAACACAGGGCAATCGAAGACTGATGCCTCTAGCATAGTCCTTTGTACCCAGAGGAGAAAAGTGGCAGTGACAGAGTTATCCAATCACAGAGTCAGATTAGATCCAGGCACGGGCTGTCACATTCCACAGGCCCCTGAGTTAGAGATCCCAGAGTTATAGTTCCCTCTGGTCAGGCTACACCCTGGGAAAGGGGCCACAGACTCAAGCAGAAAGGAGCCTGGCCCAAGAGTCTGTGGCCTTTGCCCAGCACCTGCTTCCTCCTCTGGCTCACTGGGTGACATGGAACAGTGCCCTCTTCTCTCCACCTCAGAGCCCTCCCTACCTACCCGTGGCAGTGATAGCTGGTCATGACCTTGAAAGGGAAGGTAGAGCAGAGACAGCAATGGGATCCTCTCAGCTAAGACCCGCAAAACCATCCCACATAGTACCAAGAACTCTAGTCCCCATCTCTGAAAGTACCAGCCAGCCCAAGGCTCCTCGGCTCTACTCTTGGAAGTAGGTGCGCTCAGGGCCAGACCTGGCATTAAATGTGGGCCAGGCCTGCACAGGCCACTCCACTTCAGCTCAGTCTCAGGGCCTGGGAACCTAAAGACCAGGGTTAGTCTGGCTTGCTGCAGTTCCTCTCAACCAACATAGTGGGTCTGGGCCACATGGGCACTCCTGTTTACATGACTGAACTTAAATGGTGACATCTTTTTCTAAAATCTTCTCCAGTCTACATCATCCACTTGGTCTCCAGACACTTGTGAATTTAGGCTCACTTGGAACTGCAGGCCTCTTACACGGCAATAGCCCCAAGAACACTCACCTTCACCTCCCTGACTACTTCCCCCCCCAGGACACCCAACCCTCCAGTCCATTCTCACTTGTTCACCAAGCTCCCTGACCACTGAGAACATCACATCAGCCACAACCAGCCCTGAGGAAGCTCTCAGTGAAAGGCTCCCTTCTCTCTCCCTTCTCCGCCCTGTGCTCTTTCCTCCAGGAAGCCTTCCTGATTGCCTCTCCCTTACCTGCAGCCACTCAGTTACCGCAGCACAGCTACATCCCTCAGTTTCCCCATCCAGACCCACCCACACAGACATTCATTTGCCCACCTGTTGCACGCTTCTTCAGTGAGCTTTGCCTGGCTCTTCCTATGCCCTAAGGAGGAAAAGGCAGGTTGGCTCCCTTCCATAGACTTTCTCCCTCTCCCATGGCAGGTGCGCTTCCTGGAGCAGCAGAACAAGCTGCTGGAGACCAAGTGGCAGTTCTACCAGAACCGCAAGTGCTGCGAGAGCAACGTGGAGCCCCTGTTTGAGGGCTACATCGAGACCCTGAGGAGGGAGGCTGAGTGTGTGGAGGCTGACAGTGGGCGGCTGGCTGCTGAGCTCAACCACGTGCAGGAGGCCATGGAGGGCTACAAGAAGAGGTGAGTTCGGTGGTGATGACATTCACAGAGACAAGATGAAATTAAGTCAAAGACTAATGGATTTAGATTGGACCTAGAAGGGACCCTCCCTAAAGAGGATGACAAAGGCACATCCTTCTGAAACAGTGGTTCTCAACCTTCCTAACACTGCGACCCTTTAATACATTTCCTCATGTTGTGGTCACTCCCAACCATAAAATAATGCCATTGCTACTTTACAACTGTAATTGCTACTGTTATGAGTCATAATGAATCATAATGTTAATATCTGATATGCAGGGTATCTGATATGCAGCCCCAAAGGGGTTCGAGACCCACAAGTTGAGAACCACTGCTCTGAAGACCACTCTCTTTTGGATTGGTAGTTTAAAGATTGCAGAGGGGACTAAGACTAAGACAGCTCAGTAGTAATGAACACTAGCTCCCCTTGCAGAGGACCAGGGTTCAAATCCTAGTGCCCACATGGCAGCTCACAACCATCTATAACTCTAACCCCAGGAGATCCAGCCCCCTCTTCTGACCTCCATGGGTACTCCATGCACATAGTATACCAATATATGTGCAGGTAAAGCATCCATACACATAAAAGAAAAATAAATACAATCTCAAAAATTTATCTTAAATAGAGATTGCAGAGATTCTAAGATTCTCATTTTTACTTATTTATTTTCTTAATTCACAAAGATTTGTTGAGCATCTGATGATGTTCTAAGTACTGCATTAGGATGGAGACTGGGCAACAGTTGCTCTACAACCAGACAGGCTTCTTGATACCAGAGAGCCACAGCCCAGACACAGAGAGGAAGTCTTTGAAAGGTGCAGGGTCCCTCCTTGACCCACATCAGCCAGGAGAATTCAGGGGACAAGGAACTGTCATGGTCCCCTCCAAAGATCCAGGTCCTGGGATACATTCACCTGGCCTTTATTCTCCCCTCATCCTCCTCAAATCTGAGCTTTGTATCCTCTGTCCCCAGGTATGAAGAGGAAGTGGCACTCAGGGCCACTGCTGAGAATGAATTTGTGGCCCTGAAGAAGGTGAGTGACTCAGAATAGTCATCCTTTGGTCAGAGATGCCATGTAACACCTTTTATTAGACACTGGAGGCCACTGCTCCCCAGAGTCTCCAGGACCATCCCCTGCATAGCCCTGGACCAGAGCTCCCCATGCCAGCCTCACTTGGCACACTGTTATTTCATGTTTATTCACCTAGTCTTCTGATCTTCCTTGGCCTTGGCCCTGTCAGTAGAGTGAAGGAGAGAGCAGCAGTTGCCATGGCATCCTTGGACAGCCACAATGGGAAACTCATGGTGGTAAAGATGCCTAGTGCTACTTGCTTCCTAAACATGACTGCAAGTACAGCCATGGGGACTCACCTCCTACTCACCTGGATGAGGGGACTTCTGAGAGCCCCAAGGCCCAGATGCAGAGAGTCAGGCTGGGCTTGCCCTGAGCCCTCAGCTCTAAAATAAGCCTGATTCTACTATTAGATCCAGAACATAGCTGCAGAGCCCAATTAGAAATGACCCATTCCACACTAGACCCCAGGTTTTGAAGATGATACCACCTGTGGATTTAGAAGACCCATCCCAGTGCAACAAAGCAGTGCCCTGGGATCCTCAGATCCCCCTCCCATCCCCACTCCTCACGAATGACATAAAGCTATTGCGCACACCATGGCACTGGACCCCTGCATGGCCATCAGTTGAAGACCTCTCCAGAGTTGTTCAGTGTGATAACTGGACAGGGGAAGAATGGCAATCTATTGAACTCCCCATGAGACTCCTGGTTTGTCTTCCCCCTTTAGGATGTGGACTGTGCCTACCTCCGTAAGTCAGACCTGGAAGCCAACGCAGAAGCACTGACAGAGGAGATCGACTTCCTGCGGCGACTGTATGAGGAGGTGAGGGGCACAGGGCAGTAGGACATCCAGGAGGAGCCTGTAATGCTTTGGGATGGACTTGTGACCACTCTGGTCTCTAAGCTCCCCAGTGGATACGGGGTACAGAATACTTTAGGGATCTGAGGCAGGTTTCTTTTCCCAAAGTGAAGAATTGTAGCTGGCCATCTCATCTCACACCCCATGGAAGCTAGATTCCCTGGTTACTGTAACCATGGTGATCACAGGTGGTAAACCACAGTCTTGGGTCCAAGGTACCATGCTGAGGCTACAGACACCAACCAACACTGTCTCTCCCTCCTGGACCTGCAGCATATGGTGTGAAAAGTACAGAAGGATGGTGCCAGGCTGCAGGGGAAACACTGGAATATGACAGTGGCCATCAGAATGAGACCCTTGGGGAATGAGGAGAGGAGACAGAGACTGGAAGAAGGTAGGCTGCCAAGAGTAGGGACATGAACTAAAAAGAGCTTTCCTCCCTCCCCTGCTGCAGGAGACCCGAATCCTCCATGCCCACATCTCAGACACCTCTGTCATCGTCAAGATGGACAACAGCAGGGACCTGAACATGGACTGCATCGTGGCTGAAATCAAGGCTCAGTATGATGACATTGCCACCCGCAGCCGGGCAGAGGCCGAGTCCTGGTACCGCACTAAGGTGAGTGATCTGGACACTTGTCTCTTAGACATGGCAATAGGAAGGATGTGAGGTGTCTATTTGAAAGGCCCCATTTGTCTAAGCATTCTGATTCCTAAAGACAAGATAAAAGCCAACAATAGGGTGAGACTTGCCACCTGACTGTACAGGCTGAGCACTGAACAACCTGTACCCTCATTGGTGGTATGCTCAATGGGTGGACATCCCATCCTGACCACAGTATGTCCAATTCATCTCAGTGCGAGGAGATAAAGGCCACAGTGATCCGGCACGGGGAGACCCTGCGCCGCACCAGAGAGGAGATCAATGAGCTGAACCGCATCATCCAGAGGCTGACAGCTGAGATTGAGAACGCCAAGTGCCAGGTAAAAGCCCAATCCCCTCCGCACTTGCAACATGAGAAGAAAGTAGACTCAGTAGCATGCAGGTTCAAGTTAGACTCTGCCAACGGGTGGTACTAGAAGCCAACACCAATGCCAACAGCCTACAGAGAAAAACTTTTGTTCCTGCTGAATGGGAATGATGGCCCTGTGTAGATGCAGGGAGTTTCCAGGTCTCGAGGCCAGAATGAGGCTGAGAGAATAACACTGGATTGTAAGGGAAATGGGTGCTGAAACCAGTCCCGGCACCCACAAGTCATGGGCTTGGGGTGAGCAGTTTACCTCCTCTAGCCATCGTTCTAGATCAACAGTCACACACTCAGGCAAACAGAAGCTGGTAATTATGAGCAACCGGACACTCTTGTGTCCTAGGCACAAGAGTATGGCCAATTGGAAAACATACAGTCCAGAAAGATACAACAGAAACAGGAAATGAGGGCATGCAGGGCTAGCATGGTGAGACCTTGTAACTTTTCTGAAAGAAGCCAGATCTGCACCAGTAGGCTAATGTCCACAATTGAAGACACAGCACAGACATTGCATGAGAATGAGAATAGGAAGTTTCAGCAGTGAATGCTACACCTCCACCCTTGAACACAGTACAGAGAACTTTAATAACTCTCATCACATCCCAGAACACCAAGCTGGAGGCTGCAGTGACCCAGTCTGAGCAGCAGGGAGAGGCCGCCCTCACTGATGCCCGCTGCAAGCTGGCTGAGCTGGAGGCTGCCCTACAGAAGGCCAAGCAGGACATGGCCTGCCTGCTCAAGGAGTACCAGGAGGTGATGAACTCCAAGCTGGGGCTGGACATCGAGATCGCCACCTACAGGCGCCTGCTGGAGGGCGAGGAGCACAGGTGAGCTGAGAAAAACCATGTGGGAATTCATTTGAGGGCCGAACTGTCTTGAACAAACTAGCTGGCTAGGGCCTGTCAGTCCTTGCATGGAAGAGGCAGAGGCTCTGGTCCTCCTGGTGAATGGTCTGGGGCACAAGTGTGACACACAGATCTGACCACCCTACTCCAGGCCAGGCTTCAGCAATAATGGTTACGTATCACCATAGTATGCTCTATGTCAAGTGCCCATTTATGATCCTCATCCTGGAAGGTAGGTACCATTTTCCCTATCCAAAAACAGAAGAGGGTTGGCTCAGTGTTCAGCATGACCACCAAGTTACTAAGCTGCAGAGCTGGGACCCAATACTGGGTTCTGGGCTTCTAAAGCCCATTCATAGCTTCCCTTGAGGCCGGGGTCATGTAGAATAAGGACGATGTACCCTGTACACACGAAGCTCTGCCTCATCCTTACTGTGAGCTCTACTGACGATCAGCAAGCTCAGGCACCCTGTTGGCAGGCAGTGTGTGGAAGTCACAATTCCACTCACTACTGCTCTAAACTGGGAGGGCTGGTCTTCATGGATGGGGGACTCTTTAAAGAAAGAAAATGAACATTCCATGAAGATTTGGGGAGGTCTTCCTGCCTCTCAAGAGATAGATCCAACCCAGAACAAAAGCTGACCTTGTCTGTCCCCAAGCAACTGTCTCAAGGAATCCAGCTCACTGCTTGGAACTAATGGCACTTTCTTTTCTCCTTAGGCTGTGTGAGGGTGTGGGCTCTGTGAATGTCTGTAAGTATCTGCTGGAAATGCCCTTAGAAAAGTGGTTTGGGGGATGGGCAAAGCTGCACCATGGGCCTACACCACTGACCCTCCAATGTTTCCCAACTTCCATAGTCTTTATTCTTCCTTCTTCCATAGGTTCCTTCCTAAGGACTACTGGAGGGGTGGGGTGTAAAAAAGTTGAGCACCCCTTACTGGTGGGCACTAGAAACTGCAGTCCAGGGAAATGGGTTCAGGAACCTTCACATCTCTCCAGATGTGCTATGAGGCTGAAACCTGTCATGTTAACCATGGATCCCTTGAGGAGGAGGCAGGCCCTGCATGTGAAGCCCCCAGGGAACTGTGGTGGGTTGGTGACACTATAGCCCCTTATCCCTCCCTGTTCCTCTTCCCACAGGTGTCAGCAGCTCTCGAGGTGGAGTCACATGTGGGGGCCTCACATATGGCACAACCCCAGGGCGCCAGATTGCCTCTGGCCCCTCTGCCACCGGGGGCAGCATCGCAGTGATGGCCCCTGACTCCTGCTCTCCTTGCCAGCCACGATCCTCCAGCTTCAGCTGTGGGAGCAGCCGCTCAGTACGCTTTGCTTAGTGCCAGGACCTTCAACTGAGTAACCTGTCTGCCCATGAATGGAGTGATGTGTGAATGGAAAATGTGTGCTTGCTTCCGGAATATTCCAGATGGTCCTGTAGGAGGAAAGAGCTCAGGGCCACTCTCCTCCACCTTCTCCTTTTAGGGAGTTGTTTCTCAGTTCTCCTCTGGCTTCACTTTGGAAGGTTATTCCCAACCCTTCCCTTAATTCCACCCTGTCTTCAAACACTTATAATTCATTTGTTTCATTCACCAAGCCCTCGGGGACTCCCCTGGTCACACCGGGTGGCTGGACAATAAAGCTTGGTCAAAGCACAATCCCAACCACCAGCCATTCCCCCTAAAACCAAGAACCAGAGGGAACTTTCCCCAAGCAGCCCCCGGTACATGGCCTCAGAGGCAGCAAGCACCTACCTGTCCTTGGTTGTGTCTGCTCACCCCCCTGACTGACTGCCTTCCCGGGGCAACATGCTCTAGCCACACTCCTTAGGTTGCCTCCCAGAAAACAGTCTGCTCTCTGGGGAGTCCTGCTACCTACAGCCCCTGGCTGGGGAGCTTTGAGCAGGTCTTGCTATTCAGGACATCTTTACACATTTCAAAGACTCCATACTTGCTCCTGGCCTCCCTTGCCTGTGCAGAAGGGAACTGCCCACTGGAGAGCTGATGGGACAGGGACTATGAGGCCACTTTCCGGTTCTGTCTGTAGGTGCCTTGCCTTCTGGGTGGACCCCATCTGTGTTTCAATAAATACTGCTGCCATGCAAGGGTGTGTGATATTTTGTGCCAGTGTCAACATTCTCTGCTCTCTGACAACCAATGCTAGGCCAGCCCCACACTGGTAACCAGCATTTTGGAAAAGCCAGTATCTTATGTCACAGGGTAACCTTCTCCACTCACCCCTGTGACTCCTTCTCTTCTAGTCCATTCCTACAGCATGATCCACTTGTCCTCCTCTGTCCCTGCCAGCCTGGAGCACAGCTCCAGCTCCTCCTTCAGCATCCTTCCCCCTCCCCCCCCCCCCCGCCCAAAAAGAACAAGCCACCCTGCTTCCTTAGTTAAGGTTACTATTGCTGTGATGAAACACATGACCAAACCAACTTGGGGAGGAAAGGGTTTATATTACTTACACTTCCATATTATTGTCCATCACTGAAGGAAATCAGGACAGGAACTCTAACAGGGCAGGAACATGGAAGCAGGAGCTGATGCAAAGACCGTGGAGAATGTTGCTTTCTCCTCCTAGCTTGCTCGGCTTTTTTTTTTTTTTTTTTTTTTTTTTTTTTTTTTTTTTCCTGAACCATGGATCACTATGGGCTAGGCACTCCCTATTAATCACTAATTAAGAAAATATCCTATAGAAGTGCCTACAGCCCAACCAGTCTTATGAAGGCATTTCTCACTTGAGTGTCCCTCTTCTCTGATGATTCTAACTTGTGTCACAAGTTAGAACAGACCTGTCTTTTAGCCCCACCCTTCACATGCCACTGGGCTCAGAATACTCGCAGACAGGCATGAGCTTCTTCCCAGTGCACCTTCCCCAGACCTCCACGACAAGGAGACAAGTCTGCCCTCCCGAGGCTCCAGGACTACCTCACTGCCATCCAAAGCAGACACGGGGCCAGCCCTGTGCCCTGTCACCTGCACCTGTACTCAGCGACCTCTATTTACCAGTTGCTAATACCTCTGCATCACAACATCTAGAACCCTGAAGACATTTGGTTCTGCCTCCCTGCCTTCAGGCCTTGTCAAAAGGTCAAACTGAAATCTTTTGAGGGCAGAAAGTGTCTCCGGCTCTGAGCCTTCACTGGGTCCCAGGATAGGGCTTAGGGCGTGCTAGGCCTGCAGTGTGTAGAGTGATCTCAAGAAGCTGAAAAGCAAGAACCATTGACACTCAGCTCCCTCAGAGTCCATCTCTGCATTAGAACACACTAGCTACCACTCCCATGGGGCAGGTGTCTGTCCACCAGCCCCTCTGCTGTCCTACTCTCCTCCATCCCCATCTCCCAACCTCTTTTATTGGTAGAAGGTAAGACCTTAGTCACTGCTGATGCCTAACTTAAAGCCCAAAGAATTATGAGCCAGCTGGACAATGCTGGCTGCTCCATTTGAAGTTTGCTAGGTGACCCCAGACAGGCTCCTGCAAGCCTCTTGCCTTCCCCTCCTTCATCCCAACTCTCTGGGCCTTGATCACATCCATGATCACTACATCACTCATCTACAAGGAATTAAAAGTCAATTGATGGCAATGGACTGCTAGACTGCCAGGTCTTGGCAGCATCTTTGTCAAGAAGTGGCCTCTGTGTCTGGGCCCCACCAGAGCTCCTGAGATGTCAGGGTTGCCTTTTCAGCTCTGCCACACCCTGTGCTCCTGTGCAGCTGAAGTGGGTCCATGCTGGAGAAAATAACTTGATCCCAACAAGGATATGGGCCAAAGAAACAGGAGAAAGTTCATCTTAGACCCCGAACTATGACACCACGCACTGACTAGGGAACAGGTCAGAACCTAGAGGATATGAGTACACCTTTGAATGTTTCCATGTTTGTGTGCAATGAGCAGTCAACTGATTCTGCTAGACAAGGGTGTAGCTGATGTAATCCTCTCCCTCTGATACTCTTCGGCCAGCAGCAAAGACACAGTGTCAACTCATGGGACCACAGGACTCTGGGGCTCTAGTAGCCTTCTTCTAATAAGAGCTGTGTATGTATGTGTAATATTTGCGTGCATGTGTGTGTGAGAGAAAGAGTGTGTGCATGCATAAGCCATATGTGTGAGCATGTGTGGTATATGTGCACATGTGTATGAGCATGTATGCATGTGTGTGCATATGTATGTGTAGTATATGTGTGTGCATATGTATGCATGTGTGTGCTTGTGTGTGTCACGTGTGTGTGCATGTGAATATGTAGTATATGTATGTACATGCATGTGTGTGAGTGTTTTGTGTGTGCCATGTGTGTGCATGTGTGTATAATATATGTTTGTGCATGTGTATATGTATGTGAGTATATGAAGAGGAGTCAATGACAAGTGTCTTCCTTGCATACTCTCCTCTATCTTTTGGGACAGGGTGTGCTGGTTAGTTCTCTGTCATCTTGACATGAGACAGAGTTATCTAAAAGGATCCCCTGGATAGGGGATCAGTACCTTAGAGTCACACCCCTGTCAATCTGAAGCCCAGCCCTGAGCAAACCATACCCTCTGCTCCCTGTGCACATCATTCCTGTCTAGCTGATGAAGCTCACTCAGAGAACTTTATTAAAACCAGCAGCAGTTTCAAACCATCTTCCAGTCTTGGGGCTGGGACATGAGGCAGGATGGGTCCTCCTGTATGTGGGCAAAGGGGTATGGGCACTCTCCAAGCCCACAAGCCTAGTTATATGTGCTCAGTTGTGGGGGCCCCTGCGGGTGGTAGATGTGGTTCTGATGGAATAGGCCTTGAGCCCACCAGGCCCCCCACTGCTTGAGAAGCTCAGAGCATTGCTGCCCATGGTTCCCCCAAAGATGAGCCTGCTGCCACTGCCCCCAGTAGAATTTACTACAGCTGGAAGAGAAGAGAAGAGGGTCTGATTAGTGCATATTCCCCTACCCAGGGAACCCATCCTTCCCCAGCCCGCCTTCCTGCCACAGATGTCCCTTTCCTCCTGCCTAAAAACTCCCCTCACCCACCTAAAAGAAACTTCTGACAGTGGCAGGGGCCCCTCCAGAGAGGTTCATAGCCTTCCCTCACCTGGCTTCCCCTTACACTCACCCCTGCCTTCCATGGAACCTGCCAGAACTTTGTGTGGAAGGGGAGGCTCCCAACCCCCCAAGCCAGGACCCTTGGGCCAGTCTACCATGCTAGAAAGCTAGTTAAGTCTACACAGCTCAGTGGGTAGCCGAGAACTTACAGATGTTCACAGGGCCCATTCCATCTCCAGACAACCTGGAAGAAGAAGACAGGTCTAAAAGGCGGCCCTCACTCTCACTGGCAGGCACCAGCCTCCAGACCCTACCAGAATCTCTATCCCTCCCTTCTTGTTCCCAGCTTGTCTTTAGCCTTGTTTCAAAATGGTTGAGGAGTAGGAGTAAGAAGCCCCACTTAGACCCCTCTCTCAACTTTGACCTGCATCAAAGTTCCAGAGCCTTCATGTCCCATCTCTAAACTGGGCCTACCTCTAGAACTAAGATGACAGGTTTGTTTGTGAAGATTGCTGCATGCAATTTCCCTATAAGCCCTGAACAGCTAGAGCTTGGGAAATGGTTACCATGCTTAGTATTTGTAAGCAGGCCTGCCCTTCCTCACCAGAAGTTCTCAAAATGGGATGCTGCCCTTGGACTCCTGTCTCCAGCCCCTAGCATGAGACCTGGAACTAGCAATTACTTAACAGGTGCTGAAATAATTACTGATTGTTGACTGATTGACTTTGGCTCCAGCCAGGACTTCCAGGGTGGGGAAAGGCGGGTGGCTTTCAGCTGCCTGTGGGCCTGAAACAGGTCTTGCAGTGGAAATTAAAAATCTGAGACAGCTGGGTCTATTTGTTTGGTGACTCATAGTCAGTTAGCTTTGCAGGGGGGACAGACACTTTCATAGGGGAGGGGCAATGAGAATCTGCTGGCCTCAGCAGCCTCAAACTGAAGGGAAAAGTCCAGTTTTCAGAATGCTTCTGGGATGCAGGATCCAATGGTGGGGACTGCTAGAAGTTGAAGCAGTCAAGGGCAGGGTGCCACCAAGAAGCAATTCCATGTCTTAGGACTCATTGGGACAGACCTGACATCCAAGTTACAGTGACTGATTTAATTCTTCCTTAATTCTAAGTACATATTGACCTTGTGACTATATTTGCAACATTGTATCTCAAAGACTACAAACTCAAAACAATTATGAAGGTTTCAGAGCCACAGCCCCTGATATGCCCAGGAACAGCTCAGGGGGTTAAGAGCCTAAAACTAGGAAGAATCAGGGCCCCATGAGGCTAAGAAGATATTGAGAGGCCTCTCAGATGGGGCTGCCTGTGTGATAGACAGCCTGTGGGACAGCCTGTGAGACATGCCTGTATGACAGCCTGTGGGACATGCCTGTATGACAGCCTGTGGGACATGCCTGTATGACAGCCTGTGGGACATGCCTGTGGGACAGCCTGTGAGACATGACTGTGGGACAGCCTGTGAGACATGCCTGTATGACAGCCTGTGGGACATGCCTGTGGGACATGCCTGTATGACAGCCTGTGGGATGGCCTGTGGGACAGCCTGTCTTCCAGATGCCTCCAATGTTCAGTTCCGATTCTCACAAAGAAGTCAGGGAAGCAAATCAAAGTACATATAAATAGGGTAATAAATATTACTAAATAGGGTAAATGGGCCCTCTTCTACTCTGGCCTATGTTCTAAACCATGTTTCTCCCTCCTCTTCCTACCACCAAAAGTTCTGCCCCAACACACCCCCACTCCTGCCCCAAAACATCCATACCTTCCTGTCTCCACTCCATTAATCCTCACTTACACACACACACACACACACACACACACACACACACACACACACAGAGCACGAAAAGTTCTCCAATAAACTTAGCATTTGAAAAGTTTAAGTCCCTGGTGGCTCTGCAGGTAAGGGAGCTTGCCACCAAGCCTGACAACCCAAATCCAATCACATGGTGGAAAGAGAGAACATACTCCCAAGAGCTCTCCTCTGGTCACCACACACACGCTGTGACATATATGTATATACACTCATATACACATTCTCTCTCTCTCTAAACAAATGTTTTTTTAACATTGCTTTTTCAAGTGCAAGTAAAAAATGTTAAAAAAAAAAAAAAAAAAAAAAAAAAAAAGTAAATGTTCCAGGTTTCTGTGCTCCCTTTGCAGGCATTTATCTCCATGGTGAACGCATTTCCTTCCTCCCAGAAGGCAGAAAATGGTTTAAATATTAGCTGACTCTATGTTGGGTTCTAACAAATGAAGACTACCGAGTCTACTCCCATGCTTTTGCCAATATGGTTGCTTTTCTCACCTCCCCAACCCTTAACCTTCCCAGGGCACAGCTTCGTTTGTCCAAATCAGGCCCTGCAGCCACAAAGAACAAAACCAACCTCAGATGGAAGTGCTCTATCCTTAAGGAAGCCAGCCCAGCCCCTGCCAGCCTTCTAGGTCACTGCAGGTGATTATGCAATTAGCTCTGGGGACAGAGTACATCCACCCAGCACACTGAGTGCCATACAGGTAGCCCAGTTAGCCATGGAAAACAGCCTAGCCAGCTGTCAGCAGGCCTGGGCTGTACACTACCCCTGCCCTCAGTTAAATGAACCACATCCCTCTGGAGGTGATGCTTGATGCCTGTGACCTGCCTCCCTGAAAACAAGCTGAGGATCACAAGCCTGCTAGGAGCTGGGGGATGGCTCAATGATGAAGAGCACTTACTGAGCAAGCATGGAGACCTGCATCTGAGTCCCTAGAACCCACATTAAAAAGCCAGGTGAGGCCTCACACATGCCTGTAACCTCGGTGCTATGGAGGAGCAAGCAGGAGATGGGATAAGCACAGAGCAGGACACTGGCATCCTCCTCTGGCCTCCAAGCATCAACTTGGATGTAGGAACCTGTGCACACGTGTGTGCATATACCATACCAAGAAATAAATGGTTTTTTAATAGCCTTGCTAATGGCCCTGCTTAAGTAGGGACTTACCACATGGCCTTCCCATCTAGAAGGACGTTTCCAAAAAGGGCTAAGCAGCAATCATGAACTTTGTGCACCCTGTCCTTCCCACCCTATGTCCTGCAAAAGAGGGGAACCTAGGAGATGCCTGTAAGTGTATAAACAACAAGGCCAGACCTCACTGATCCCCAAAACCTTCTGCCAGCCTGCACCTCTCACCTGCTCTCCTCGCCCTCCAGCAGCTTGCGGTAGGTGGCGATCTCGATGTCCAGCGCCAGCTTAACATTCATGAGCTCCTGGTACTCCCGCAGCTGCCGTGCCATGTCCTGTTTGGCCTGCTGCAGAGCGGTCTCCAGCTCCTCCTGCTTGGCATGAGCATCCTTGAGTGCTAGCTCCCCACGCTCCTCAGCCTCAGCAATGCTGGCCTCCAACTTGGCACGCTGTGGGCAATAGTGAAATCATGAGCAGAGTAGATAGCTGACCACTACCTTCCTGCCAACCCATACTGCACCAGTCAATCTTGCTTAAGATGGTTTCACTGACCCTACCTAGTCCCCCAAATATCATGGAATCCTGAAGCTTAAACTCAAGGATATGAGGGTCCACTGCCACTTTCTAGCAGTGTAGCCTTACAAGGATTAACCCCTCCAAGCCAAAGTCTCCTCTTTCTAAAAGCATAATGATTACAGCATCTATTCAGTAGGGATACTGTGAGAGTAAGGAGAGATGAGAAACTGGAAAGATGGCTTGGGAGTTAAAAGCACTTGTTGCTCTTGCAGAGGACTCAGATTCAATTCCCAGCACCCACATGGTAGCTCACAACTGTCCATAAGGCCAGTCCCAGAATACACAGATATACATTCAAGCCAAATACTCATACACATAAAATAAAACGTAAGACAAAAATCTTAAAATTTTTAAAGTCTTTTTAAAAAGACACACGGAGCCCTGACATGTTATCTAGCACACACCAGGTGCTCAGTCAATGTTACTATAACATGTAAAGCCTAGCACCCACCCACACCTAGCCAGAGAAGCAAGGACAGGGAATCCCAGTTGGGTCACAAATATCAGTAGATGACAAGAACCAGATGCCTTCAAAATAGGAACCAGCAATTTGAGAGAGACTAAGTAGGGGACATGGGAGAGGTTGGAGGAAGGAAAGGGAAGGAAGTGATGTGATTACATTTTAATTAAAAGATATTTTTAAAAAAAAATAAGAAACCAGCACCAGATGTGAATATTTCAAATAGAGGGCTTTGATCTGATACTATGACCAGAGACTAGAACCATGAGCCAGATTAATTCCTTTCTCCACTGAGTTGGTTCTCTATGCCATTTTACCACATGGGTAGGCAGGTGGCTAACACGGCCACTAACAAGAGCTGTCTCATTCTCCCATCCCCCACACTCCAGTCCAGTGCTTCTCTGTTCTTCAGGAGGGCCCCTCTCCATCCTAGGGTCTTCTTCCTTCAGCTCAAGTCTCTATTCCATGGGTACCACTTAGTGGCGTCCTCTTATGTTCCCTGGACCAGGCAGGGCCAATCTCCTGCCTCTAGAGACCCCTCCCAACTCTTTGAGGCTCTCGGTGGCGGTTGCCTTCTGAGTAATAACACATGAAAGTTCATGGATGTGGTGAAGGCTATGCGGTTTGAGAAAGGACCATTCATTAATCTGAGCTTCCTGTTCTGGCCAAGAGGCCTGGCTGCTTCCCTGGGATACTCACAGCTCTGCATCCAACCCAGAAGGCAGCAGCTATCCTGTGTATAAACCTGCCTACAGGACTCAGGGAAAGGTATTACTGGGTAAATCACTCCTACATCCCCACCCCAGTTCAGTGAAATATTTGCTGAGGCTGCTGCATGCATCCTCTGCCCACCCCCACTGCAGATGCCTGCTCAGGCTGAACTGTCCTGACCACATTGGCACTTAGGGGACCCTTCCCTCATCAACACCCCCAATCCCAACTTCCAACAAAATGCATGTGCTCTCAGGCCCTCCTTTGAGACTTCTGTCCCCATGGTGTGACAGAGGGTTCCACTCCCAAGGAGCATGCAATTCCGGTGGGGTGAACACACTCAATAATTTAATAACCTTGAACACTCCAGACAGTAGAAGGTGCTTCAACAAACTTCAGATGGGTTGCTGGTGTAGTAGATGGGTGTTTGAAGAAGCCAACCCCCTCAAAGGGACTCTGGTCCTAAATCCCATGGATAATAAAGCAAAAAGCCATAGACAGAGCTGGGAGAATCACAGTCCAGGGGGAATGAGAGGCCCTGGAGCAGGAATAGCGAAGGCAAGATTCATGAAGCAGGCTAGCATGGCCTGAGCAAAAGGAGGAAGGGGTGTTGTTCAGAGAGAAGACAGGAGTAGGGCATGTAAGGATTTGTGATTGTGCTGTGAGCCCAGGGCTAGGGACAAGCAGAAGGCTCAGTGTCAGAGTGGTTCCCCTTCGGTAGGCAACCTGAGTTCCCTTCCATGACTTACTTTCAACCCCAAACCAGGTCTTGGCCAAAAACATTCCACCCTGTAGGTCTCACTAGGGGCCTAGATGAGCTGCACCCACCTGGGCCCAGACCTCCCAGACTCCTCCTGACCTTGACCTGGCTGGCTAGCTGCCTCTCACCCGCACAAAGCAGGAATGAGGCAGCAAGAGGGCTGGTCCCCACCTGGTTCTTCACAGTGTCAATCTCGGCCTGGAGCCTCTGGATGGTGCGGTTCATCTCCGCAATCTCATTCCGGGTGTTGCGCAGGTCATCTCCATGCTTCCCAGCCTGTGCCTGAAGGGTCTCAAACTGAAAGGCCATGAACACAATTATGGCAAGATGGACCATTACTGCCAGCCACAGAGACCTTCTCCCCACCCACAGAAACTCCCTCCCAGCCTACATTCCCAGGAAAGGCAGTCACCTCCCAGCCACCACTACTACCCAACCCCCCACACAGGGCTGTCTCCATCCACTCCTAGCATGAGTCCAAGGCTGTACCTGTACCCACACCCGCACACTGCTGGGCTCCACACCCTAAGCACCCTTCAGACCTGGCTTCTGGCTTCCTTTAGTGACACTGCTCTAGCCCATGTCCCTCCCATTTCGTTAGCAGATTGCTCTCAGCTGTTTTGCCTCTAGAAACAATTGAGCTTCCAGCTCCTAAAACACTAGACTTCAGGACCTAGTCCCTACTCTTTCACCTACTGTGAGCTGTGTGAGCTGGAAAATTCACTTAACCTCTCTGTGCCTCATGTTTAGAATGGCAGCCACAGTGATGCACATAAAATAGATATTCTGTGGATTAAACATGTGAAAGTGACAGAACACTTAAGACCTAGCCCTGGGCAGGTGTGCCCTGCCTGATTAGCACTATGACACTGAACTATTATCAATATGTGTCTCCTTCCTTTTCCTCTGCCCCATCAGCCTGGGCTCAAACCTAAGGCAGGGAACTAGCCTTCTTCATCCTGAACTCCAGAGCATACCACTGCCTTAATCACTGGTGCCTGCCAGGTCATGAAGGCTGGAGACAAGATGAGGAGAAAAGGAGCTGCCACTCAGAGCCTAGCAGAAGGAAAAAAGATGACCCCAAATGACCACACACCTTGGTCTGGTACCAGGCTTCGGCCTCAGCCCGGCTGTGGTTAGCCATCTCCTCGTACTGGGCCTTGACATCAGCAATGATGCCATCCAAATCCAGGGAGCGGTTATTGTCCATGGACAGCACCACAGATGTGTCTGAGATCTGGGACTGCAGCTCTGCTAACTCCTGCAGGGACCAGACAGGACATTGGATGCATGTCTAGGACATGATCCATCCATGTACCCATACTACACTGGAACCTCCCCTAGGAAAAGAAAAAGAATTCTGCCTGAAGTAGGCAGAATTGCCAGGCAGTGAGGGGCACAGATGCAACACATGCTGAATAGTTCTCTGCCCACCCTGGCTGCTAGCATCTCAAATAGAAGACTGTGGTAGGATTAAGAGACAATGTGGTGCACACAACAGCTCCTCCTGTGAGGTCCCCTCAGGGTACCTAGCCTTGGCCCAACTCCTGCCAGATAGTCAGTGGATCTCCTTCCTAAGGCTAGAAGATGACATGCCACCCACCCTGGAACTCACCGTCTCATTAAGGGTCTTGAGAAAGCTGATTTCATCATTCAGACTATCTGCCTTGACCTCCAACTCTACCTTGTTCATGTAGGCAGCATCCACGTCCTGGGGTTGAGAGATGGGACAGAGTGACACCATGCCCTCAAGACAGAGAACAGGCAGTAGAAATAAGAGCAAGTTAGTCAATCCTGCCCAGTTTTTTAGGACAAAACAGCCCTGCCTCCCCAGAAACTTCCTCCCTGGTCCTTTAGGTTGCATGCTGAATGGATGGCATTTCCATGCAACCCCATAACCAGCATTGTCTCCCCAACACCTTCAGTCCAGAGACCCTGAGCTCCAAACCAAACATGTGCCCAGGTCCCAAAAGGTTCTTGGTGTGGACACAATCCTGGCTCAGGCACACTGGCTGTGTGACCCAGAACAAGTCATTTCCACACTGAATGCCTCAACCTCTTAGTCCATGTATGAGCAGAGTTACAATCATTCAGATCCCCCTTCACTCTCGTAATGATGAGCAAATCCAGCTGGCCTGCTGCACTAGAAGTACTGGGTGACTCTAAGGCTGGTGAACCCAGGTTACAGCCCAGGTAGGAGCCAAGCTTCTGTTAGTGCTTTTAAATCACTGTAACCAAAATGAAAATGTCAACAGAAACAGTGTAAGGGAGGAAAGATTTGTCTAGGTTCTGGGTTTCAGAAGCCTCCGTGCACCACAGCAAAGAAAACCTGGAAGACTTTAGTCTCTGGTTACTACAGAGTCAGCTCCCATCATGGTTGCCCAGAAGCAGAGGGAGAGTGAGTTCTGATGCTCTTTTAGCTCTGGTCCTCTCTCCCTCCCTCTCTCCCTCCCTCCCTCCCTCCTTCCTTCCTTCCCTCCTTTCTTCCCTTTTATTCTGTCCAGGGCCATGGCTTCCTCACTCAGTTACCCCTCTCTGGAGACACCCTCTCAGACATACCCAGAAATGTGCCTCGCCAATGTTACAAATGATTAACAGTAATAATAATTAAAAATCAGATTCCTGCTATGTAGCTCTGGCTGGCTTGGGATGCACTGTGTAGTCCATGCTGGCCTCCAGCTTGCAAACCTCTGCCTCAGGCTGCCAAGGGCTAGAATGAAAGGTGTGTAGTACCACATTAACTCCTAAATGATTCTAAGTCCAGTCAAGCTGCCAAGGAAGATTAGCCTCCTCACTCTTCTACCTACTCTTTCTGGGTTGACCTCGTGAGTCTTCAAGGGCCTGGTGTATGGCCATGGTGAATGCCTGCAACAGGGCCTGGAATACAGAACTGCTTGGAGAAAGGGTCTGGACTCAGAATTCTAAAAGGTGGGTGGCACAAATCCCTCTACGACACTCCTACAGCTTCCCAAAGGACACTTGCACATCTCTAGCTCTTCCTGACTGAAGACAGTTTATTGTTTATTTTGCAAACATCTGAGGTCATCCAGGAGCCATGGGGTCTGGGGTAAATGTTTCTGACTCCTAGAAAACACTTTCTTACGTGAGCCTAAGACCTCCCTCTCAAACTTCTATCTTCTGGTCTTAGTGCACACACACACACACACACACACACACACACACACACACACACACAGGGGGAGAGAGACACACACAGAAAGGCACACACGGGGGTGGGAGGGGGAGGCACACACGAGTGTGCATACACACACGAGTGTGCATACACACACAAAGCAATAGGGAGAGAGAGACACACAAGCACACACATGCACAGAGACAGAGAGGGGGCACACACAAGCATGCATGAACGAAGGGCATGTGGACACAGGCTGTACTACTCCAGTGTGGTTTTGAGACTTCCCCAAGCTCATCATTCCCTTCTGTTTAATCCAAGGCAGGCCTTGACCATGGGCCTAGTCCTGGGGTACGAAGCCCCTGCCTGGTCTCACCCTGTGTGTGAAACAGCGCCCCAGAGCCACCACCCCTCACCTTCTTCAGCAACACAAATTCATTCTCTGCAGCTGTGCGCCTGTTGATTTCCTCTTCATACCTGCAATGAGGGAGGAGCGTGGTCATGGCCCAGCTTTGCCTCAGAACAGCCACACACAACACTCAGCAACACACCTAAGAGAGCCAGTGGCACAGCTACAAAACCTAACTAACTTCTTCACTTCCATGCAGACAGTCCAGCATGGAGGGAAGGGCTCAGGAAATGCATGTGAATTAGAAGCCAAAGGCTGCATCTACTGGTGGGAAATAGCCACGCTCAGGGGCTGCTTTATGGGGCCTATATTGGCATGCACTTCTGTGGGATAACTCACCCACCCCACCCCACACACACATACACACACACACAACAGCCCTACAATACAGTACTATAATCATCAGAGCTGAAAACACAGAGGCAAGTCACCTATCCGGGTCACTGTGCTGCAAAGGGACAAAGCCCTGGCTTAATGCCTGGCAGCTAACTCCACTGCACATGCCTTGACTTCTAGCTAGGCCCACCCCTGAGGTGCAAAGAGGAAGTTCAAATGGGGAAAGCTTGTAGAATCAGGACAGAGAACATATGGAGTGTCCGAACTGGGTGTTAGCCAGCATCCTTTTTTCTCCCAAATCCCTCTTCCTCTCGAGGAGCTGGCATCTGGCTTTGGAAGAGTGCATTAGCTTGTTCTGGTGTGTATGTGGGGAATCCAAGGAAAGCAATGGGAAGGTAGCAGTGAAGAAACAAGGTTCCCTGGCACACAGGAATTGCACAGAGTGGCAATAGCTTTGGTAGGAAGCAGAGTGCCAACCAGAAACCCAGTCTCAGAATATTCATGTGGGCAGAGTGCCACTCCAATACCACAGAAGCTACAAATCTGCAAGGCTATCTGATGCCCTGCCTTGGTGCTGCACTGCTGGGCTGCTGGGCTCCAAATGCACTGGCTGAAGCTCTCAGAGCACCCATGCCCCTCCCTGTACCTGCTGCCAGCTTCTCATTCACCCTCTTCCTAGAGCTCAGCCTGGCTCCATAGAAGCCAGGTGCTCTAAGGGGAGATGGGTGCAGGCTGAATGAATGCCTGACAACAGGGGTTGCTGGCTGGCTACCCAGAATCCCCTTGCCCTACTCCTATCTGGTTCCACCCACTGTGGGATGAATCTGTTGACTTTTGCCAAGGGAAGCAGCTGGTGGGAGACACTCCCCAGAGGTCCTGTTTGTTCTCCTCCAGTCAGAGCCGGTATGCCTGGCTCTGCTTAGTCACACAACCACAGAGCACATCCACTGCCCCCAATGCCCAGTAACAGGGATTCAGGGTGGGGCCCAGCTCAAGCCTTAGGCTTTGCTTCTGATCAGTGAGGGAGGGGGAAAAACCCACAGGAGCATTCAAAGGCATGTCCACAAACCCCCAGGAGTCCTGTCTCTGGCAGCCTCTTCCCTGGCTCTGCCTTAAGCCTTGCCCTGTCACTCAAAACCATCATTCCCATCTCTTTCTTTCCTTCTCACATCTGGGAGTTAGGGACCCAAATTCAAAACCAAGTTTCCTGTCACCCACTATGCAGCAATCTCAACTAAGACCCATAGACTGTCTGGTTTCCAATTCTTCATCTGCATGGGGGCCGGGGAGGCTGTTCTAGAATAATCTGAGAGGACTTCAAGTTCTAAATCACTCTATCATGGGATACCTTCTGTCTCGGGCACCCAAGGCCTTGAGGCTTAGCCAGGCACCCAAAAGGAACCAGGACTGTCAGGGTAGACTGTGCTATTTCTCTTGACTAAGCAGGGGGTGGGGTGGGGGTGGAATGACCAGAATGCCCCAGCAACATCCCCTGAGGGGGAAGGGAGAGAGGCAAGGCAGGGAGTGTGTCAGCAAAAGGCATCACTTAAGCAGTTCTAATACTGGGCAGGTATGCACTTGGACCCCTGAACCAGTGACACTTGCAGAGCGCCTATGAGTGAGAGGCACAGTGTCCCAGGGCTGGGGTCCTCCAGGTGGCACCAGGGACATTACTTATTCTTGAAATCTTCCACTACATCCTGCACGCTCCGCAGTTCCACCTCCAGGCGGCCCCCGTCCAGCTGCAGCGCCTCAAGCTGCTGTCTCAGCCCTGCAATCTGGGCCTCAAAGATCCGGGGGAGCGGGCTGCCCTTGGTGGACTTCTGCTCCTGCAGCAGCGCCCACTTGGTCTCCAGCATCTTGTTCTGCTGCTCCAGGAAGCGCACCTGGAGAGGTGTGGAAGAGGAGGTGCCTGAGCAGCCAGACCACACCACCACAGGTGTTGAACAGTCTGGAGCCACCAGGCAGAGCCCACATACCCACCAATTGTCCCCAGTGCTCACTCCTCCCCTCTAGGACCCCATTTCAAGTGTGAGATGTGGAGTAGGTGGGCTTGGTTCAGTGGTGTATCAGGATTTCTAGCCAATTTTGCTTCAATGGTATGCTCTATCTCTGCCCTTTAAATAGCCCATTTCTTTTCTGAAACTAGAGGTGAGAGGGTGTTAGGCTGTTGACTGGACCGCCCCCTCCTTCCAGGCTGCAACTTCTCTTTCTTCCTCAATATCTTCTCTCCTCCTCTTTCCTCCAGTCAGGCCTCAGGGAAGCATGTTAGGATCAAACCAAAGAAAAGAAGCCCTGGCACCCATCCCAGAACCAAAGGGAACGCTCAGCCTGATGATGGGAGACAAGAGGAGCTGCCCCGAAACCAGTGGCCTGGAGAGCCAGGAACTGGGTTAGGATGGTCCAGCCCAGCATCAAGGCAGGAATCTGGGTAGCAGAGAGTAGGGGAAGGGCTTCTGTAGGACTATAGGCCTCAACTCCTCTTGGCTCCCTTCTCTGAGACCTGGGTCTGCCTCTCACCCCTAGGAGCCCATGAATGGCAGGAATGGACTGCCAGGGAGCATAGCTTTAAAAGGGTTCTTATCAAAGGTCCCTCAACTCAGTCCCTATCCCTCACCAGCCATCTTCCCCATCTCCAAAGGCACCGGTGACCTCACCTCCTACCAGCAAAGGAAAGTAGAGGAACAGGCAGATGGGGGGGGGCAGGAGCTTCCCACCCCCAGGCCTTTATTCTCAGCCTCTATCTCAGACACATCATTCTCTCCACTGGAAAGGGATAGCCATTCCACCCTATTCCTCACTCCCCATCACTTCCACTCAGGGAAGGGGACCCAGACAGCAAAGGACTAACTGCTGGGTGTGGCCTGGAAAGCTCCCAGCCTCATATCTGTAACACAGGTGCTCCAAAGCCCCAGAGACCTCAAACCAATCAACCAAGAAAGCTGGACAGATCTTAGACCGCAATCCTTGAATCCTCGAGGAAAGGGAGGGATGCTGGAGGAGACTGGAGGGTGTAAGGAAAAGTACTACAAAGAGCCCACCAAAGATGCCAGAGGAAGGAGATATGAGCCCAGCCTTCTAGGGCAGGACCGATGCAGGCCTGTCAGGTATGAACCGCTAGGGAATGGCTGGGCCTGGGTCATATGGCCTTACCTTGTCGATGAAGGAGGCAAATTTGTTATTGAGGGTCTTGATCTGCTCACGTTCCTCCTGGCGCACCTGCTGGATGGTAGGGTCGATGTCCACCCTCAGCGGTGCCAGCAAGCTTTGATTGATGGTGATCTCTCGGATGCCAGCGCCCACCGGGCTCCCATAAGTGGAGCGCACTGCCAAGCGCGGCCTAGAGGTTCCCAGGCCATAGAGGCTGCTGCTGCCGAAGCCACCAGCACGGCCTGAGCTCGGGCGCATCTGGGAAGCGCGGCCCGGGAAGGCAGTGGAGCGAGAACTGAAGTGGATGGACATAGCAGCTGAACGTGGCTGGCTAGACGGGGCGGCTGAAGAGCAGCGGGAACTGACTGACCCCAGGCAGACTGCGACCTTTTATCCCTCAGGACAGGCTGCTGAGCACACACAGGTGGGGACAGGGCGGGACTGGCCGCTGGCCACCTTTCTCTGTCGCCAGGGGCCTATGGGGCCCGCCTACTGCCCTCGCACCGCCCCCAGCCGCCGCCCAGACTTTCGGCCCAGGCCAGAAATATATGCAGGATGCAAAAACGCCATCCTGGGACACCCCCACCTCAGACACCCGCAGTTCAGAAATCTCTGGATCTCAAAGAGACTGCCTTACAGTTGGCAGGGAAGGCTTCCTGGAACAGGCCTGGGGAGTGAATACCCAGATTCCTGAGGCCAGCAGGGAAGCCAGTTTCAACAAAAGGACAAACTTCAGCTCCAGTTGAGAAAGTTGAAACCCCTCACCCACTGGCTAGAGAAGCCTAAGGCATTCTAAGACACTCCCTCCCCAGTCCAGCTGCTCCTGGAGAGATCCGATGCTCAGTTCTTGAGTAACCTACAGGGTGATGAGCCTCACCACTGTTTCCCTAACTGCAGTCCACCTTCTCCACTCCACCCAAGTTCCCAGGACCTTCCTCACCCCCTACTCATACTACCCTGTGGGTTTCTGGGATGTCCGAATGTGCACTTCCCTGTGTTCTCACTCCTAGGCACATGCATGTGAGCATACATGCTTGTCTGGATACACAATTAAACACATTGCTATGAACATTTGCATGTGTGTCCTGGCTCCCATTCACATCCAAATACGCCTCCCCATCCTGCCTCATTTTCCTATTTAAAGGTCTACCCGGTGTACCTGAAAAGGCAATCAACGGTGGTCCGAGACTGAGGTCACTCTGGTGCAGCCAGTACCAGCACACTTACTCCCCCACTCCCATTTTCCCAGACTCTCTTGGTCAGCCTTTGGCCCACTTCTAGCCCCACCCTGTGAGCTGAGTATTTAGGGGAGTCCTGGGTGGAGGAGGGTGGGAATGGAATGTTCCTCCTGCTTTGCCATTGCAGTTAGCAACCCCTAAACTGCCAAAGGAGACCCCCATCCCTCAGAGTGTTTCCTCAGTTCTTCAGCTCCCTGTACCCTTCTGCAGCCCCTCCTGCTCCCCACTCCATCCCCAACTTTGAAGGTTGTGTCTTGCCCACTTTCTCTAGCTGGTCTGAGAAATCCTAGGAGGTCACAGCTAGTGCAACGACCTAGACAAGCCACTGGCCATGACTCCTTCGGGGCAAATGTCTGACAGAAGCTGGGAAGCACACTGAAAACAGAAAGGTGTCCGGGCACTTCAGGCCAGGCCTCAGTCCCCCATAACCACTACACACAGGCTTGAGAATACTTCCTCGTTCCAGAGCCTACACCGCTCTTCCCTGGGCCTCTTGCCCCTCCCTGGAACATTCTTAAAGGCTCCAGTACTGGCCAGATTCCCCCTGCCCCCACATTCCCAGGCCAACCTGAGTGCCAGGCCAACTCAGTGCCAGGTGAGAGCAGCAGTCTCACCCCACCCCACCCCCTTTCTCTCGGGTTTCACAGCCCTGAAAGCCTCCCATCAAATTCTTGCCCCAAGGGAGTTCAACCTGGTGGTTCATCAGAACCCAGGCAAACGCGCATGCATGCATGCATGCACAAGCGCGCGCGCGCACACACACACACACACACACACACACACACACACACACACCAACTGCTCCTGCTGGCCATCACAGAGACCACAGATTCTAGATCCTGGCTTAACCCACAAACTCTTTTCTCCATTGCCCTCTGCCAACTCAGTGAATTCTGCTATATACACTATATACACAGAGAGAGAGAGAGAGAGAGAGCGCGTGTGTGTGCGCGCGCGTGCGCGCGTGCACACACACACACACAAGCACTCACGCACGCACGCACTCATGATCATTCACATTAAGCCAATTGTAAACTTCACTTATCCTCTGACTCTCTTGGCTACAGTACTAAGTACCCTTTGGAACAAACAGCTACCAACAGTGCTGGACCCAGGTTCTTAGCCCTATCTCTGTCCACAAATCCCAACCTGGACACCTAGACACCTGGCCCCTACTCTCCTGGCCCATGAACATTGTGGCTCCTCCCACAGAGTAGGTGAAATATTCACAAGTATTATTCATAGCCCAGCAAAGTAAAAACACATCTTCTGAGTCTTTTATTTTTAATATTTTATGTGTGAGTGCTCTACATGCATGCCTATATACCAGAAGAGGACACCAAATTTTGTTATAGATGGTTGTGAGCCACTATGTGGTTGCTGGAAATTGAACTCTGGACTTCTGGAAGAACAGCCAGTGCTCTTAACCTCTGATCCATCTCTCTAGCCCTACATCTTCTGATTCTTAAAGGGGAATTTTTTTTTCCATTATCTTGGAAGGTGAATGCTTCTAACCACACTAAGAGCCACTTGACATTCTGTGTGGACATCAGTAGCAGAATGCTTGACCAGCATGCATGTGGTCCTATGCTGAATCTCTGATAGTGAACCACAAAAAGTTCCACACAGAGCATAACACCTACAAAGGAAATAAGTGACAACAGCTAAGAAGAATGTGACTAACAGCAGGTTACTTTCCCGACTGTAAATCATGTCCAGAAGAGTGTGACAGACAGGAAGAGTGTGGGCTGTTGTGTACCTCGTGCCTCCTGCATGCATGTCTGCTTACAACCTATTGAACCATTTTGTCCCTATGCTATAACCTGTGACACAGAGATTTATGTCGTATACCCTCCACCTCTTGAGACAAGTTCTCACCACATAGCCCAAGCTGGCCCAATCTCCTAAGTGCTAGGATTACAGGCATGTGTCACCAAACCCAGTTATTGTCCCCACCTGAAGAGAAGACACTGAGGCACAAATAATGTAAGTCACTTGCCCAGCCCCCCACAGCTAGTATGTAAAAAAGCTAAGATTTGAGTCCCCGTAATTGGAACCACTGGGTTATTTGTAAAATGATGATGATGATGATGACGACAGTAGGGCTCAGTGGTTAAGAGTGCCTAGTTAGGTTTCCAGCACCCATGTCAGGTGGCTCACATCTACCTATAACTCCAGCTCCATGGGGATCCAATACTTTGAACCTCTGTGAGTACCTGAAAGCATATGCATACACACACACACACACACACACACACACACACACACACACACACACACGTAAAGTAAATACAACTGTAAGAAGGAAAACGAGTTGCAGATATGAAGGACTGCTCAGCACCACTCAAAGTGGGGTGAGAGAAAGAATAGAAGCAGCAAACCAGGCCAGTATGGTGGCCATGACCATAACCTCAGCACGGTGGGAGCTGACAGTGAAGGGTGGCAAGCTGAGGGACAGTCCAGGTTCCATAACAAGTCTCTGTCTCTTTCATGAAATCCTTTTGTGCGTGTCAAGTCATCAAAGACTGAAATTGATGTTAGCAGCGTTCCATGTGGATGGCTGTGGAGATAACAGCAAATCTTGTCCTTTGCTGCTGGAGTTATTGATTGTCACTTCCTCTTGCAGGGAAAGTTAGCAAAAGGTCTCAGGGTTAAAAAGACATGTTCAGGGGCTAAAGAAACAGTTCAATGGTTAAGAGCACTGGGTGCTCTTTTGGAGGGTCTGAGCTCAGTTCCTAGCATCTACAAAGAGGCTCACACCATCTATAACCCCAATTTCAGATTATCTGGCACCCTCTCTGGACTCCATGGGCACCAATTATGCATGTAGTGCACATCCATACATGCAGGCAGTCACATGTACACATAAGATTAAAAAAAAAGTAAGTAAATCTTTTTAAAAAACCACTGAGCCATCACCAGCTCTAGAAGGACCCTTTGGAAGGAAAAGAAAGTGACATAGAAGTCGACTTAAGCAGAAAGTAAGCCTAAATAAAGACATGGTTACAGACTAGGCACATGGATTGGGATCTCAAACATGAGAAACTTATGCAAATCACCGGAGTGGGGTCCAGAGGAATGTACCTAAGAGACCTGCTGGAGCACACAAGGAATAGCCCCAGCTCTGTGGTAGGAAAAGGAGCTGAGAGCAGACAAGGACACATATTCAGACGCTCACAATAGGTGGTGCAAGCCAAGTCAGGCTCTGGAGTGGGCTACCTATGCCTGCTGCTTCTGGTGAATGAATCCCGAGGTCTCTGTACACGATTGCCACATCCAGCATGGCTCCAGGAGTTATATGCCTGGGTTATCGAGGGAATGAATACAAATACACAAAGAAAAGTTGGTATTGGCTGTACTGTACTCTCTAATGGAGAAGCTACAGCATGTTTATTACCTACAATTGAGCAGGGAGGCTGGGTCATTGATATAGCTAAACAAGGAGGCAGGGTTAGCTAAGTTGTAGGAGCAGTGTCTGTTTGAAATATCTGGGAAGAGGAAGAAGCTGGAGACATTTTCTATACACATTGCCTTTGTCTACACTTAGACCATTTCTCTAGCCTGAACTGAAGGAAGTTTTGCCATTTCCCATGGGTCTTAGACATTGGGGTCCTAGACATAGCAGTGCCCATGACAACAGCCTATTTTTACTCAGGATTTCATTTGCTTAGGGCTTCCTCCATGTCCCACACCTGATCATCCCATGTATGGACTTTTTCTGGCCTCAGTCACCATGACATTCCACCCTGTAAGAGCACAGTCATTTCAGGGGAAGCCACACAGCTCTCCAGCAGAAAAGGTGACAGTGATTTGACTCAGACAGCCTCAGCCCAGCTATGTGACCTGGTAGCTGACCCCTGTGAATCTCCATTTCTTTATCTATAAAGAAGGACTCAACAGTATCCATCCTGTAGCTTAATACTGAAAGTATCTATGATGTGCTAGGAGCTCTGTACCCCTCAGAAAGACCCAATAACAGAAACCCCACCACGTGAGCTGATCAATGACACGTCTGTCATACTGGTGAACATTCCCAGCCTCTCTCTTCTGAGGGCCCAGAAGTTGCCATCTGGAACACCACCTCTCTTAATTTGTCCCTCATTTCACAAGCCTAGGCTCTTTCTGGTT